ACTTAACATTTAGACAAAACATTTAACATTTAAATTTACCAGTTATTAAAAATTAGAAAAATGTGAGAACGGTTTGCTAATTAACAGTAAAATTTGAGCAGAAAACTTTACACTTAGAAAGTGAACAAAATAATGAAAATGTATTAGTGACATTTTTTAACATTTCAAACTTGGCATCTCATACTAAGAGTGACATTTTGTAATATTGCATGATTGCTCAGGACAATATTTTTAAGGTTTAACCTTTGCAGCAACAAATCTGTCATTTTTCAGCATAAGATCATGTTTGTCTGTGGGGGAGTGATATGCATTCCTTCAAGCAATACCAGTTCTTTATCTAAAGTAAGGGTTGCCATTTACTGGCCAGGATTCATATGTGGGTAGATTTTTATTCATGCTGTTGCACATCATTGGCGAATGGTCATATATTATTTCGCAGCTCAGGGCTTGGGCTCACGATCAGAAATCTGCCTTTCTTCTGCTTGCACTTCAGTCTTGGGCAGAAATTTTGTCTGAAGCACTGCAAAATCAATCCAGCAACCTTCCAGCTACACTCAGCCTCTCGACCTCTGAACCAACCTGCTGCCTCTGATTTATTATTTCAGTTCAGGAACAAACAAGCTGCACGTCTGTGTTCGGCTGTTTACTGTAAGAGGGAGTTGTTAGGCCTGCCTCAGATGGAGGAATGTTTGCTCCCTAAATGGAGAGAAAATAAATAAGCGCTTGTTTTTAATAGACCGCTTTGGAGTCRGACTCAACAGGAGTGCAGGTCTGAAAGATTGAAAAAAAAAAAAGTGACGGTGCAGTTTGTTGTAGACACTGATGTGTGCAGGACTGGTCTGCTCAGGAATGTTTTGTGACCGTGAAAGAGGCAACAGTGGCAGCTTAAACAAGTCCATGCTGGGCCTGGCCAAAAGACAGAGCACATCCCAGAGGAGATAAGAGTTAATCCCACCCTTCCAAACTAAACTGTGAGTGAAGGATCAAGACAGCCCCGAMTGAAAGGTTCCCACCAGACTCGCAGTTCAAAATAGAACTGGAAGATAAAACTCCACGCCAGACTTGGAGCTTCCAGCTCTTTGGCTGCATTTTTCCACCCAAGGGCCGTTCCTAAACAAAGTTTTATTGGRGCACAAGCCCATTTTACTCAGATCATTTGTTAAATGCTGTCTGCCTAATATTTAAAACGGATCAATCTTAACCATTTGGAAAAATCATGTGCAACATAATTTTTGTAATATCTTTACCTGCATTTGAAAAAAACACGTGCAAATATGGAAACTAAGAAGGGCCAAAGCTAGAAATGTGACATCCGCAAACGATCTGAATCTTTTGAACAGTTCCTTACAGTGAATGATAGAAGTCGAGTCGCGGGCAGTTTTATTTTTGTATTCCTCATAATAGCTTTATTTTTCCTCCTTAGCCACAGACACCATCGC